CACCAGAACCAGTAACCCACAAGCCCCACCCCTCCTAAATCTGACCCACCCTCGGAGACTGCAACTGTTCCCTGAGGCAGAGTTTGTCAAACCCTGATTGGACTAAGAGGTGAGTCTTCGTCTAGGTGGAGCCCAGAGGCACAACTCTGTGCCCTGACACCACCACCCATTGCAGTCCTAGTATCAGGCCTCCTGAAGACAGGTCAGACTACCATCATCCCCCACCAGAACCAGTAACCCACAAGCACCACCCCTCGCAACCCACCCATGGGCCAAGATTGCAGATACTCCCTGAGACAGAGCCTATTAGTGCCAATTGGACTAAGAACTGCTCACTGAGACAAAGAGTCCATCAGCACTTATTAGACCAAGAGCTCCCACTGGACCAAGAGTATCAACCAGACAAAGAGAGCCTCCCTCAGACACAGACACCACTTGCACCAAGTGGAGAAAGAGATGGGTAGATGCCAGTGCAAAAGTACAGTCAACAACATAAAAACCAATATGGCTCCATCAGAACCTACATCAGCAAGACCTGAACACCCCAACACAGAAGAAATCAACCTTAAAAATAACCTTAAGAAGATGACAGAGAACTTTAAAGAGAAAATGAAAAATTCCCTTAAAGAATTCAAGGAAAAGTCAAACAAAAAATTGGAAGACATCAGTAAATCCCTTGAAAGACAAGAGAAAGCAATTAAACAAGTGAGGGAAACAGTTCAAGTTTTGAAATCTGAAATCAAGACAATAAAGAAGACACAAACTGAGGGAATGCTGAAAGTGGAAAATCTGAGTAAACAAACAGGAACTACAGATGCAAGCATAACCAACAGAATACAAGAGATGGAAGACAGGATCTCTGGCATTGAAGATACGATAGAGGAAATATATTCATCAGTCAAAGGAAACACTAAAGCCAACAAAGTCTTGACCCAAAATGTCCAGGAAATTTGGGACACCATGAAAAGACCAAACCTAAGAATAGGGGGATAGAAGAAGGGGAAGAATACCAATTCAAAGGCACAGAAAATATATTCAACAAAATCATAGAAGAAAACTTTCCCAACCTAAAGAAGGAAATGCCTATAAAGATACAAGAAGGTTACAGAACACCAAATAGACTGGATCTAAAAAAAAAATCCCCTTGCCACATAATAATCAAACCATAAACATACATAATAAAGAAAAAATATTAAGAGCTGCAAAGGAAAAAGGCCAAGTAACATATAAAGGCAGACCCATCAGAATAACACCTGACTTCTCAATGGAGACTTTAAAAGCCAGAAGGTCCTGGACATATGTTATACAGACATTAAGAGACCATGGATGCAAACCTAGACTATTATACCCAGTAAAACTCTCAATCAACATAGACAGAGTAAACAAAATATTTCAGGATAAAACCAGATTTAAACAATATCTTTCAACAAATCCAGCCCTACAGAAAGCACTAGAAGGAAATATCCAATCTAAGGAAGTTTGATACACCCATGAAAACACAGGCAATAGATAGTCCCATGCCAACAAATACCAAAGAAGGGAAACATACATCACTACCACCAAAAAATAACAGGAATTAACAATAACTGGTCATTAATATCGATTAATATCAATGGTCTCAATTCACATATAAAAAGACACTAGCTAACATAATGGATACAAAAATAAGATCCATCCATTTGCTGTATACAAGAAACACACCTCAACTTCAAAGACAGATACTACCTCAGAATAAAAGGCTAGGAAAAGACTTTCCTATCAAATGGATTTAAGAAGCAAGCTGGTGTAGCTATCCTAATATCTAATAAAATAAACTTCAAGCTAAAATCGACTGAAAGAGATCATGAAGGACACTACATATTTATCACAGGGAAAATCCGACAAGATGAAGTTTCAATTCTGAATATTTATGCCCCAAATACAAGGGCACCTAAATTTGTAAAAGAAACATAGTCAAAGCTGAAATTACACATCAAACCCCATACACTAGTAGTGGGAGATTTCAGCACCCCACTCTCACCAATGGACAGGTCTGCCAGACAGAAACTTAACAGAGAAATAAGGGAGCTAACAGACACTATGACTCAAAAGGACTTAATAGATATCTACAGTATATGCAGAGATGACCAGCCACACTAGTAGAAGCCATGAACTGTAGACTAGGGGCTGTGGAGCCCCCATGGGACTGGACTAGGCCCTCTGGATACAGAAGATGGTTGTTTGGAACAAACTGTTTGGGGGGCACCCAGGCAGGGGGATCAGGATCCGTCCCTGGTGCATGGGCAGGGTTTGGGGAATCTGGTGCCTGTGGTATGATGCCTTGCACAGCCTAGGTGCAGAGGGAAGGGGCTTGGACATGCCTAGGCTCAGTGTGCTGGGCTTTGCTGATTCCCCGTGGGAGACCTTGATTTGGGGGATGTGGGGATGTGGGGTGGCTTGGGAGAGAGGGTTGGGGGTGGGAGGAGGGAGAAGGTGGGGTCTGTGGGTGATATGTGGAGTGAGTAAAAAATTTCTTAATAAAGAAAAATGGGAAAAAATTTTAAAACAAATTTTCTCAAAATTTGTTATCAGTTAATGTTTGTCTTCTATACCTACTTTATAAACCTATATGCCTGATGTTGCACTAAAACTTCCACAGGTGATATTATACCACACAACTACAGACCCAGGTCCCAGAGGGCTCTGTACTGGATTTGACTTGAATGCCTCCTCCATGAGGAAAACATTTCATAATAACCAGAAGATACCATGCAAATGTCCGAAGGAGAGAAACAACCAAAAGTCCCACCCAGCTGTGACACCTGTGAACCCCAAGGAGCAGTATTGCATGATAACCCTAAAAGAGCATAAATAGTCTATATACCTAGATGGTACAAACAAGTTTCTAATTGGACTTGAAGATCTACTCAATAAGAGGGAAATAGTGCCTGGTTACCAGAAGCCTCACCAACTACCCAGAGCTATTAAAGTCATTGAGTAGTGAGCAGAACAGATGTAGAGAAAAGCAAGATAGACATACTGTGCTGAGAAAAGGTACCAAACCACATAGCAAGTAATAGATAAGAAATATGTGTTAATTTAAATTTAAGTTAGCTAGAAACAAGCCTGCGATATTGGACAAATATTTCTAATTAATATTGAGTTTCTATGACAGTTATTTGGGAACTGGTGGGCAGGGAAGAAAAGTCTGGCTAAAAAGTACCAAAGGCAACAGGAACTAGCAAGAAAGCAGGACCTGAACAAGACACAATCTGTGGCTCAACAGTGCAGAAGAAAGTTGAGGAAGATGAAGACTCTATCTGAGGGAATGCATCATGACAAACTTAAGTGGTAGAAACTCAATCCTCAAACTAGGATCAAAGAATCTGATAGTAGTGTGTTTGGGAGGTAGATAGCATTATATGAGGTTATAAAGGAAAAAGTGCAATAAAGGCACTGTTAGCTTTATAAGTAGAGGCAAAAATAGCAGATCTAGCAAACTGTTGATCTCAGCATGTGATATCTTTCACCATGATATGAAACACCAAAGAAGCCCTCAGGAGATGTGGTCTAATCATGGCAACACGCTCTTAGGTTTCCTCAAGCCCAGAGCTGTAATAAATAAATGTATTTTCTGTGTTAGATCCCTGGTTTCCAGTATTCAATTACAGCAACAGAAAACAGGTCAAAGCTGAGGATAAGTAACAAGTCAAAGAGAAGAAAGATGTGAGAACGCACAGAGTAGGTGTTGAAGGCAGGTAATGCTCAGCTCCGTGTGTTTCCTGGCTGCCCACTTTGCAGAAAGACACATCTAAAAGAGATGGTGAAAACCTCCTCCCTGGCCTTGGAAAAAGACTCTCTGCATATCCAGATGACAGTGAAGGCATGACAACACCTTGCCTCTAGCCTCCAAGGCCTGCACAGAGGACCCAGATATACCCTGCCAAGATTACAGTTGTTGTGATTGCAAGTCCCTGAGTTTGTGTTAGCTTACTGTGTAGCAGTAGGATAATAACACAAAACTGATTCCCTATTGTGATCTAGGATGGTAAACTTGAAAGACTCAGAGTCCTGCATCTTGAAAAGTTGCTATGGATCATTCTGTTGAGTTTTTGTATCCACACTGGGAGGATGCAGTAATCCAATAAAGGCTCATGTAGAAGTGGAGGATGTCTAGGAAGAAAACCTTCCATGACCATGGCTGCATACCCTTAGGCCTCTAGAGCTCATGTACCTGCAATGCTAGAACAACCACAAAAAGAAAAGGAGTTGAGTGTGGTGTCATGCAATCCAGCAGTCAGACGGAAGGTGTAGGTGGGATGAAAGTTCAAGGTCACTGGGCACTAGATAGTGATGTCCAGGTCAGTTTTCAATATATAGTGAGACTTTGTACTCCTTCAAGTAAGAAGACAGCAAAAAGTGAAAGAAGGCAGGAAGAGATTGTGGCCCACATTGTGAAAGATAATATAAAGAGGTGAGTATTAGATGAGGAGAAAATAACGGCTAATGAGTGTAAGACTGTGGATGAGCATCTGTGATGGACACAGAGATGCACATCAGAAGCTGAGCAGTAAATCAGCCACAAGAGACTTGTATGTGATCCTCTGAAGAAGGACTTGAGAAATTTTAAGCAAAAAGAAATGGAAATATAGCATTAGGTGGAAAATGTAAGCTTGTGTCTGCAAGACAATAGTCTTCAAAGTTCAAGCTCTGATTATTTTGGGCAACTGAGGAAAGTTTCCTGTAAGTTTAAAATGATTGACTATTTGGTATATTGAACAACAATAACAAAATTTATTGAAAATAACCTGTTGAAAATAGTATCAAGAGTTCTTTATTAAGTAAGCAAACAGATGAATTATAAAGCACAAATGGTGGGACAAACACATTTTTTTAAAAAAATCTGTTTCAGAGCTTCACTGTTTTAACAAGATTTCTGAAATCACATGGTTGACATGTCTGGGGAAAAACACAGCTCAGACACTGAGCTTCAGTGAGCAGCAACCCCAGGAGGTTTTTGTTTAGCTGTGGAACACTGTGGGAGGAAACTCCTTACTCTGCTGACAGTAATAGGTTGCAGCATCATCAGCCTCCACAGGATAGATGGTGAGGGTGAAGTCTGTCCCAGACCCACTGCCACTGAACCTGGCAGGGACCCCAGATGCTAGGTTGGATGCTTTATAGATGAGGAGTTTGGGGGGCTGTCCTGGTTTCTGTTGATACCAGTAAAGATAATGAATAATACTATGTAGAGTGATACTCTGGCTGGACCTGCAGGACATGGTGGCTTTTTGCCCTAGAGACACAGTCAGTGAAGGTGGAGACTGGGTCAGCACAATGTCGCCAGTAGAACCTGGAATGATAAACACACATTGCTGTCACAGATATACTGCAAATACCCAAGGAAAAATTATGCATACGGAATGTGTAACATCAGTCAAGAGATATGCCCTGAGAAAAATAAAATAAAAAGGAAACTTAAAACCAATTAAATTTCAGTGATTGGGGAGGACACTAAGGCATATAAAACAATGATGGCCACAGGAGATGCTCCTAGCACTGCACCCTCTCACCTGGAACCCAGAGGAATAGTACCCACAGCAAGAGAGCAGCTGACCCCATCTCTGAGACCTGGACTAGAGTCTGCTTCTTAGGCACTGGCAAGCTGCCTTTAAAAATACTTTGAGCATTCTGCACTGTGACTAAAGTCTCAATATGCAAATCAGCTCAGAGAAGCTTGACTTGGTGCTCAGAGGACACCTGCTCTTGTGTCACTCTATGGCAGTTAGGATTAGGAAGAATTCCCTAGAGTATTTTAAGTATATCCCAAGAGATTTTGTGGCTGGCCCAGGGGAATCATCAAATTCTGTTATTTTGAGGTTCCATCTGGGGAGTGCATTCTCACTGCTCTGCTTTAAAGAGTGCGAGTTGCAGAAGCGCTTTGACCTCTCAGAATTAAACTTTTAAAAAGATGTCTTTAGTTGTATTTTATGTGTATGAGTGTTTTGTCTACATCTATGTCTGTGCATTACATGTGTGCCTGTAGCCCTTGAATTCCTGAAGAGGGCAAAGGATCCACTAGAACTAGAGTTACAGATGGCTGTGAACTGCCACATGAATGCTGGAATCTGAACCCATGTAGTCTGCAAGAGCAAGAACGACTCAACCACGAGCCATCTCTCCAGCCATAAACTGATTTTTTGAATCTCATGACAACAAAGTATTTTGCATTGTGATTCTTCTTACAAACAAAATAGTTGGATATAATGAGATAAAGAAAAAACAAGGTGGATTGGTTCAGATTAGAAGGGGAAGTCAGCTCCTCTGAGAGGCTGTAATCTAAATGTCATCAGGAGCAGAAAAAGCAGTGAGCAGTGACCATGAAACGAAGAAGGAGGCTGGAAACCTAAACTTAGAATGAACAGGCATCATTGAGAATAAGCAGATCTCTAGGCCAATGCCTAGCCTAGCTGATTATTTCACAAACAGAGAAAGCAATATTTACCCCCAAACCCAATAACACTAGGTCAGAGTCCACAATTGTTGCCAGTTAGGACACAAGTTTGAAGTCCCTTCTTGATCTACGAGAGTGTCAGATATCCTGGTCATGTCCCTTCTCTGAAACACAAGAAGGATAATGATACTGGGTTTTGTGTCCCTCTGGACACTAACCATCAATTCCACGTAGGACCACAGCCTTGCAACAAACCCAGGTTAGCTGGAAGTGAGGCTTTTTCATAAGAAGCATTTCCCTCCTTCACGGCCCCTGAACTGGATGCACTGACAAAGGTGAGCATTGTGTATAATGCAAGAGAAACTCAGACATTTCCACTTCCAGGTATTTGACAGTGAGAAACATCTTAGACCCTGATATCCTCATATAAGCCTTATAATTCAAGGCGTTAAGTGAAGCTTCATGCTCCCCTCTCAAGGACTGAAGTAGATTACAGTTTGCTTGTCCCCAAAAGGCCCATGAGGTAAAAGCTTGGTTTCCAGGCTATTGCTGTGTTTGCTGGTGGAACGTGTATGAAGACAGGGCCAGTGGGAAGTTTGAGGCCACTAACCCTGTACTCAGGGGAAACTGTGTGGCTGTGATCTCCTCCTCCTCTTTCTTGGCCACAAGAGTCACAGCTTTGCTCCACACACTCATGTTCTGATGGGCTGCCTCACCACAGACTCACACAGGAGCTGTCTCCCCTAGAGAATAACTTTCAGACCTGAGCCAATGTTCAACTCATTATGTCCTTTTCTTCCAGTGATGGACACATGGGGCTTCACACTTGCAATGATATTCAAAGCAAGGGGTGCTTAAGGGATTACACAACTGATACTGTAAATCACACATGGATAGGCACACACACACACACACACACACACACACACACACACACACACACACTTCAGTTGATGCTGGCGAGTTAATGAATTTCAGCATTGCTTTTCCAGCTCTGTGAAGAATGTCACTGGAGCATTGATCTGGATTTCATTCATATATCAGCTTAGTACCATAGCCTCCATCATTTTCACTACCTATGAGTGTGGGAGGTCTTTTCATCCTTGATCTTCTTCAACTTCATTTTTAGTGCCCCAGTGATTTCAATGTAAGGGTCTTCACTTCCTTGCTTAAACTGACTCCTGGGTATTTTATCTATTTTCAAGCTGTTGGGTAATGAAATTTTCCCTTCATTTCTTTCTGAGTAAGTTAATTTTTATTACATGGAAAACCTACTCTCTTACATCCTACTCTTCACTGAAAGTATTTCATTTTCAGGTCTAAGAGTTTTCTGGTGGGTGTTTTAGAGTCTTCTAAGTATAAAAACATATTATGTATGAATGCTTCCAATCTGCCTTCTTTGTTTACTATGTATAATTCTTTCATTTCTTTCTATTCCCTCTTTTCTATGCTGAGACTTTGAGTATTACATTAAATAAGAATGAGAGAGTGGGCATGCACCTTTCCCTCATTCCAGATTTGAGAAGCAATTCTCTGTTTCCACCACTTAGTATCACTATTTTTAGATTTTTAACTTTTATATTCTTTGTTTTTATTTTGTTTTACATTATCACTACTAATTTTATTCAGAAACTCATCTTTGTTTTGTAAAAATGGCTTGTCTCAGAATCTTCCAGATCTCTCATCTCCTCTTGAGAAAAACAAAATAAGCAAACAACCCTGATCTGAAGAGTGTTAGCCAGTATCTCAAAGTCATATCATTAACAATGTTTAATATTTAAAATTATTTTTTATTTTGAATGCCTGGAAAATTTTTCTTAAATTTTAAATGATTATCTAAGTAAAAATTATTAAATTTAAAAAAAATCTTCTTTGAGAAACAGTAGCAGAGACATCACTATTTAGTGAGGAAATTATTTAATTATAACATATTCAGGGAAAACAAATGCCCTCATAAGCTTAAGAATCTTCTGTTTTGTATTTTTCTTCCCTTTCAAAGAAGCCTCCTACAGACCCTAGTTTGACTGTCTCAAGGGGATAGACATCTGAGAGACTGAGCTTTGGTGAACAGCAACCCAAAGTGGTTTCTCCTTAGACCTAGAGGATTGTGGGAAGAAGCTCTATTCCTTGCAGACAACAATAGATTACAGCATCATCAACTTCCAAGGATGGATGATGAGGGTGAAGTCTAAGGCAGCTTCAATGTTACTCAACCTGGTAGGGATCCCAGATGATAGACAGAAGTATTATAGATCAGGAATTTGGGAGTTTGTCCTTGTTTCTGTTGACACCAATGTATAAGATCCATGCCCAATTTACTGACACTGTCACTAAACTTAAAAGAGATGGTGGCTTTCACCCTTTTGCCTGGTACCCAGAGCGGCAAAACCCATAACAGGAGTGCAGATGACTTCATCTCTGACAGCTAGACTAGAGAATGCTTCTTTTTTGTTGTTTGATTTTGTTTGTGGTTTTGTTTTATTCTTTTCTTTATTCTTCTCTCATATAATATATCCTTCCCTTGCTCCCTTCCTCCTAGCTGCCCACCCCATATCCTCTCTCTCCCAGATCCTCTGCTCCTCCATTTACCTTCAGAAAAGAACAGGCCTGCCAGGGATATCAACCAAACATAGCATAACAAAATGCACTAAGACTGGGCATAATCCCTCATATGAAGGCTGGATGAGGTAACCCAGTAGAAGAAAAAGGGTCCCATGAGCAGGCAAAAGAGTCAGAGACATGCCCACTCACACTGTTAGGAATCCAACAAAAACCCCAAGCTAAACAACCGCAATATGTATTCAGAGCACCTAGCAAAGACCCATGCAGGCCCCTGATTACCTCTTTAGTCTCTGTGAGGCGCTATGAGCCCTCCTTAGTTGATTCTGTGGACCATGTTCACCTGGAGTCCTCAATCCCTCTAGCTCCTACAATCCTTCTTACTTCCCTTCTGTAGGGGTTCCCTGAGCTCCTCCTACTGTTGGGTCTCTGTATCTGCTTCAGGTGCTGGAGGAAGCCTCTCTATGACTATTGAGGGTAACAGACTATCATTAAGAATAAATTTCATTCATGCTTTTTGTTGTTTTGTTTTGTTTTGTTTTGTTGTCAGTCCTGTTTGGTTCTACTCTAGGTCTCTGAATCATCTAGCTTCAGGATCTTGACCATCCAGGCAGTGTTGAGCATGGACTGCCTCTAGTGACTTGGGCCTCAAGTTAGACCAGTCATTGGTTGGCCCCTCCCATATTACCATTACCACAGCACATTTTTCTTCTTGTAGGCATAACAGGTTGTGGGTCCATGGTTTTGTGACTGGGTTGGTCTGTTAGCTAAGGTTGCTATTGTTGTAAACAGACATCATGACCACAACTACTCTTATAAAGGAAAACATTTCACTGGGGCTAGCTTACACTTTCAGAGGTTTAGTTCATTGTCATCATGATGGGACATGAGGTGTGAAAGCAGACATGGTGCTTGAGAAGGAGCTGAGGGTTCTATATCTTGATCTTCAGGCAACAGGAAGCTAACTATGTGCCACATTATGTGTAGCTTGAGCATAGGAGACCTCAAAACCACCCCCACAGTGATAAACCTCCTCTAACAAGACCACACCTACTCCAACAAAGACATACCTCCTAATAGTGTCGCTCCCTTTGGGGACCATTTTCTTTCAAACCACCATAGCTGGTGAACCAGTCTCGCCATAGGGAGCCTAGTGTGGTTACAGAGGATGGCTGCTTCAAGCTCCATATCCTCCATTGCTAGTAGTCCTTGCTAAGGTCACCCTCATAGGTTCCAGGAAGTTTCCTCTGCACTAGGGCTCCTCAGTGTACCCTAAATGCCCAAATATTCCACTAGTCTCTCCCCATATTCTCTCTCCATCCATTTCTCCCAAACATGATCCCTCCTGTTCCCATTCTACCTGCCCCCAGTCCACCCACAAAATCTATGCTAATCCCCCTTCCCAGAGAGATCCATGTATCCCCACTAGGCCTCTCCACCTTATCTAACTTCCCTGAATCTGTGGATTGTGGCATTATTATCCTTTGCTTCAAGGCTAATACTTACTTCTAAGTGAAGACATATAATTTTTGTCTTTCTGGGTAGGGTTTGCCTTGCTCAGGATGATTTTTTTCTAGTTTTGTACATTTGCATGAAAATTTCGTGATGTCATCTTTCTAACAGATGAGTAAATTGTATAAATATAACATACTTTATTTATCTATTTTTCAGTTAGGAATATCTAAGTTGCTTCTGACTATTATGAATAAAACTGCTATGAACATAGTTGGCTAGTGTCCTTGTGGCAAGATGAAGCTCTCTCGAGTATATCTGAAGAGTGACATAGCTGGTTTCTGCGGTAGAACAATTTCCAATTCTCTGAGAAACCACCACATTGATTTCCATAGTGGCTGTACAAGTTTGCACTCCCGCCATCAATAGAGGAGTGCTCCCCACCATGAGCTATAGTTTGTGTTATTGATCTTAGCCATAATGATAGGTGTAAGATGGAATCTCAGAGTAGTTTTGATTTGCATTTTCCTGATGGCTAAGGATGTTGAGCATTTCTTTTCAATGTTTCTCAGACATTTGAGACTTCTCTAATGATAATTCTCTGATTAAATATGTACCCCATTTTTGTTTGTATTACTTGGTTTTTATGATATCTAGTTTCTTGGTTTCTCTGTATATTTTGAATATTAGCCCTATAATGGATGTGTAGTTGGTAAATCTTTTCCCAGTGTGCAGGCTGCTGTTTTGTCCTATTAACAGTGCTCTTTGCCTTACAAAAGCTTTTCAGTTTTATGAGGTACCATTTACTAATTGTCAATCTTAGTGCCTGTACTCTAGGTACCTTGGAAGAGGTGGGAATGGGGGGTGGCTTGGGGGGGGTGAAGACTGCAGGATGAGAGGAGGGAGGAGAGGGGGATCTGTGGTTGGTATATAAAATGAATAGAAAATTTCTTAATAATAAAAAAGTCATTTAGCATCAAAAAAATTAAAATCAGAAGGAAAGATGACAAAGTTTGGACCAATTTTATATAACACTGGCTCAAAATTTGTCAGATCAAAAGACACTTACATTCTGCCATTAACAGAGAGCACTACAAACTCATGAGCTACAGTTTCCAACCTGATAATCTACCAGAGAACAAAAACAGGCCCATAATTCACTCCATAGGTTTATGAGGCATCCTCAATGAAGCATAGGGTTATAAGTTTTTTAATGTCATTGTAAATGTAAAACAAACAGAATCTTGACACTACCCTTCCAAATGCTAGAGACTGAAAAAAGTAATACCAAAAATAGGAAATGGAGGGAGAGAGCTTTGAAAAAGCAGGAAT